GAGGAGTTAAGACTTACAGGGCAATTCCTCTGGGATGACAGTTCCAACACCATTTTAAAGTAGCTCCATTTATATTATTTTTTGCATATATATGTTTATCAAATCATCCCACTGAATGCCTTAAGCTTACACAAAGTTTTACGTCCACTATACCTCAATAAAGCAGAAAAATTAAAAAGAAAATGATGAGTTCAGCGCCTGGTTTGTTAAAGTTTAGCATACTTTACAGAGATTGATTATAGCTGTTCTTCTGTAGAAGACATTGCAAGGTATCATAATAGGGGACATTCTACAACATGAAAGGGCTCTGATCCCTCAGGAAGACTGTGCAGGGAAAGAGGAGGGGGTCCAAGGAATACTCAGATAGAAGAAACCTGCAAAGTAAACTGATAAGAACTAGCCAGAAAGGAGGAAAATCAGGAAAGGGAATGAGGTGTCATGGTGTCCAAAGAGAAAATAAAAATGCAAAGAAGAGGGAATGGTCAGCAGTGTTACATGTTGCAAATAGGATCTGATCATCAGAAAGCCACCTAGAGTCAGAGGAGTAAATATCTGGAAGAAAACAATTGCAAAAATTGAAAGCTACTGCTAGAAAGAGCCAGAGTAAACTACTCGAAAGAAGACCATACAAAGCAAATGTCACCAGTGACAAGGAAACTGTAGGTGAGACTGAGAAAGGGCGGGCGCACAAAAATACCGCAGGAATCAGCATGTGTAATCTCCTACACCTCTGGCAGGGAAAAGGGACTCTGCAGATGCAAGGTTACAAACTTTAAAATCCCTAGGGAAATGACTTTGGATTATCTAGGTAATCCCAATCTAATACATGAGCCCTTAAAAGAAAAGGACTTTCTCCAGGTGAGACCCCACAAGAGGGGAAGCCAGAGATTCTAAGCGTGAGGTGGATTTGATGTCTGAGTTATAGGGGCTCACATGAAGGGTAGGAGAGGGCCTCGGAAGCGAAGACAGCCCCCAGGTGACCATCAGCAGGAAGCTGGGACCTCAGTCCAACAAGAGCAAAGAACTAGATTCTGCCAAGAAGAACTTGGGAAGATCATTTTTCCCAAAGCCTCTCCAAAAAGAGCCCAGGCATTAGACACTGATTTCTGCCCTGTAAAACCTGGAAAAACAAGGTGAGTCCACTTGGCCTTGTGACCCACAGAACTGTGATACAATATGTTGGTGGTGTTTTAAGTCACCAAATCTGTAGTAGTAACTTATTACAGCAGTAATGAAAAATACAACACCCCAGGGCACCAACGCCTGATTATAAATACCATGAGTAGTAGTGATTATTACAGCAACTGTATTCTTGTTCCTTCCCCCCTTCCCTCCAATCTAATCCTAGAGGAGACATTCAGTCTAGAGAGTAGAGAGAAGGCATGTGGAGAAACAGAAGAGGCCCAAGTCCTCACTCCTCCAAAACAGCCCCTACTGGAGACTCTTAAGTAGAGCAGGCTTGAAATGGGGAAAGAGAGAAACTTTCTAGGGATGAAAATTAAATCATTTACATTAAACTAAGGGATTTTTTTGTTATCTGAAAGTGAGCAGGAAGCTCTGGGGCCTGCCTAGGATTTCATCCAGGGCAGAAAAGAATAAGCTGAGAGGGCTGGTTTAAAGAGGCAACAGGTGGAATATATGAGTCACTTGCAACTTGTACCTACAGTGTTCACTTGGTTCAAAAACCAGCTACATACATCTACAGCGAGTTAAAGAGTAACTACTGAAATCTGACTTCCAGAGATCCAAGTTTTATATACAAGGATGTTCACACAACTATTTCATATAAGGAGATCCACCGGGAAACCAATACGGGCTTTCAGGTAAAAAATTCTGCTTTCATGAAAAGACAAATGGGAGAAAAGGCCCTTAAGAAGTGTAACTAAAAATTCATCACTACTTTTTAAAAAAAGCACACAAAAACTCTTATCCAGAGACCAAGTAAATCAATTTCCTAAATAAGTGAATTGAGTACCAATGCTGAAGTGTTACAGTGTACTTCACATTCATTAAGTAATCAAGTTACCACACTGTCTTTCAAAGGATTATCTTAAGGAGGGAAAAGAGGTTCTTCAAAACAAAGTTTTTACTTCATGTAAAAATTATTTAAATACCTTTGATAATGTTAAATAAGAATTATTTTAAATGCTGCACAATGCCAAAACAAAGAATCCAGATGCAAATTTTAAACAGTAGGAAGCAAATGCCAGAAGATTAAAATGGCAAATTACTGAATGTTGCTTCATCAAAAGAATTTTTATTAATAAAAATACCACCAATAGGTGCAAACCAAAAATCAAAGCCAATCTAAATCTTGCATCCTACACAGACATAGAAATAGCTTTAAACTTGTCAAAAATGTGGTACCCTGAAAAACCTGGAAAATATCACTAAATTCACATATAAAAAAGGAAAAAGACCCTTCTCATCTTCAGAATCATGAGCAGGTCCTCCCTGCAATGTACTGTGATATGATCAAGGAATCAGAAAGGAAGGGAAAGGAGAGAACCTATTCCTCATTTTTTAAAAAAGAATTTAATCATGACAAACTCATTCATTAGCAAATTGGGCAGCCCTGAGAAAGCAACAATTTCATATTCTGCTTAGTAAAGTGAATTTGATTGCAAAAGATCTTCTGCCAACAGGGAGTCCTATTTAAGATTTAACAAGTAATCTGGCCCAGTTATTAAATACGTATTCTGTAAATACTTTAGAAATGTCAATATCCATCTGCCCTGTACATACTATTAAAATTGATACTCTCAGGCAGGAGAAGGATAAGACTAACATAAAAACACTTCCAAAGTAATCACGTTCAGAACAGAATACCATTAACTATATTCAGTACTTGCCAGGCAGTTGTCTTAATGGCTTGTGGTGATAAAATGTGGTCTCCGTAACTATCTAATATCAATAGCGTACTCACTCTACTTACTCAGATGGCACCAGCAACTATGACCAAAAAGAAAAAATATTTATTTTAACGGGGTAGTCACAACTGAACCAAAAAAATCCCATTCCAGAATCTCACAGGAAAGTTAAGTGAGTGGTTCCACATACGATGCATAGATGAGGGAAAAGGAAAGGGTATGATACCACTCTGAGTCCTCCAAGGTAGTACCGTGGAGAGAGACCTTTACACAAGCCTCATTGAGAGGGGCAAAGGCTAGCAAATAAAAGGAAGAAAATTATAAGTTTTTTCTTGTCCTTATTCTAGGCTGAAATGATACCAACTCATGATGACAAGAGTTAGTAAAGAAGTATGTATTTGTGGTTAATTAAAACCAAAATCAGCACTTCATCAAGAACTGGCATAATAGGTAAGAAGTTCCCAAACCTAAGGTTCATGCAAAACAATACTAATAAAATGTACAATAATGAAAAGTAAAGAACCACTAACTCTGATTAAAAATCCCATGAAGGCACAAACCAGGCATTCTTTCCTTCTGGGGTCTTCCAAAGGTCCATATGCAACACTGACCTCAACTACTTGTTGATGGAAAGAAAACAAGGCAGTATGACAGGCAATATACTTGCTGACTCCAGCTGAACACTGAAGAGACCAGTTATTAACTTCTTCTCAAATCCCAAGAACACCCTACACTCTAACCTACATAGGTGAATGCAATAATCCCCCAAAACTAAATGAGGCTGTCAAAACCACTAAGTTACATAGATATGTACAAAATAAATCATGGTGCTGAAATAATATAAAACTCCTCAGAATAGCATACAAATTCTTTCATAATCTGTCCCAAATAATCACCCCAGTCCGATTTTTCCAGCCTCTCATGGTTTCCCTGCCCCATGAGCTATTCAAAACCTATCTCTGTCTTTGCTCACTATTGTTTCCCCATCTCAAGAGAATGCCCTTCCCTATGCTGTCCAAATCCTGTCCTAGGTTAAGACCTGTCTCCAGTCCACTCTCTCTACTAAATCTCCCTAAACTACTATGATTTCCTTTCCGTTTTGATTTCCCCGGAAGCTAATGAGGTATCTCAAAAACTGAAGTAGTTTATTCCTATTCTGAACTCATAAATAACTTAATCATTAAATACTACCTTCAGGCACTTTTTACTCTTTTAATTTTTCAATTGTTTGTTTGGAGTCCTAAGAGATCAGCAACTTGAGGGCAGAGACTATATATGTAGAGAATCTATTTATATAAAATTAGCATTCAGTTGTGGTAAGTGGTTTGAATACACTTAACATATGTGGGTTATGGGTTATATTAGTTCAGCCAGGTTGAAAGCCAGCAGCTGAGTCTGTCAGAGAATCACTATCATTTTAGAACCAACTGAAGAAGGCCGCAAATGACACAAGCACACCCTAAAATGAGCGACCAATACAACTACCTCTACCTCTACCAATTCAAGCCTCTACCAATACAACTATAGCAGGACTACAAGAATTTGGTTATCCTGAGAACCAAGAAAGAAATTTTTAAAGTCAACAAATCAGCACACTTAAAGTACACAGCAGAGCACTGTGGCCATCTTTCTAAAAATGCAACCGAACCCAAACAGACCACTTAGATCATCTATTCAAGACAAAAATGTGCCATCTACAGGGGTATCCAAACTGCGGCCCACACATCACATGCAGCCCAGGATGGCTATGAATGTGGCCTACCACAAAATGGTATATTTACTTAAAACATTATGATATTTTTTTGTTTTCATTAGTGTTTGTGTATTTAATGTGTGGCCCAAGACAACTTTTCTTCTTCCAGTGTGGCCCAGAGATGCCAAAACGTTGGACACCCCTGCTTAGAGTATTTATGGCTTTTATACATTCTGTATGAAACAAAAATCTGGTATAACATTTTTCTTCACATTCTTATTTTTGTAACCTTAAAGCTTCTATGCCTAAAGTGCCATCCTAAATGACATCAGAAACCACTCTATGGAACATGAGTGCCAAGTATGTTTAGTGTTTCTAAAACATGACTAAAAGCTAAGTCCATAACATCAAACATTTCATAAGAATCACATTCTTACCATCATCTTTTCAAAAAGATCTAAGAGTTCGGCCTCTGATAGTGGCTTCGGAAGGTTTTCCATCATCTCTGAGGAGCAGTCACTGCTTGCAAATGCAGCCTTCAGGTTGGAAAGCGGTGGCCTTTCTTTCTTGCTTCCTGGAATTTTTATGCTGGCAAATCTGTCCAGCTACAAAAGAATAAAACAGCACATATGTAAATATCTCCTTCTCAATATGAATAAACAAACAATGTCAATTTTATCAGGAGGTATTCAGCAACGGAATCTTTAATATTAAATTTATATTTATATATTTTTATTATATGTATTTTATATTTCTGTGTGTTAGTAAAAAGTTTTCAGTAACCATTATGTCTAAAATTGGAAGAGAAATCAGGCAACCTCAAAAGATTCCTTCTAATTTTAAAATTAGAGAATTAAGATTCTAATGTCAGGTGACCTTTGCTTTACAGATTAACAACCTAAGCAGTTTTACAAAAGTAGCTCAGCTAATTTAGTAGTTGGCAATCATGCTATTAGTCCGCGTCCTGAACCCTTTTCACAGTGCACACTCCGCTCCAGGGAGGTTAGTAGAGGAGGGGTGGGCGGATGGAGGGGAGGATGTGATCTAGGAATTTTAAGAATTCTACTTGTATCTCCACAACTTACTGACCTGATAAACACATTTGCCTTTACTCAGGCTGGTCTGTATTTGAACTTCATGAACAACTATAGAATAGGGTGGCTAAAACCTCAGGAAATAAAGCTGGGTTTTTGTTGTAATGGCGTCTCTTCTACAATTAGATCATGAAATAGTTGGCGGATATTGTATATTAGTTCATGCAGCGAATTATTGGTTTATTTTGATTTTTACAAAATCTATTTCTCACAGAGAATGCAGGGTCATATTATGTTTCAAATGGTAAAAATCAAAAGGTCAAAAAGTCTTAAAGCAGATGTTGAGAATAGAACTATACTTAACAGCACAATGATTCTGTGAATTGCTCGGCATACCTGTGTACATTAAGCTACTTTTATTGCTATAATATGTATAGTACATACATCTGTGCTATATTCTTTACGGTGGCCACTAGCCACATGTAGCTATTTGAACATAAATTAAAAATTCAGTTCCTTAGTTGCACTAGCCATATATCAAGTGCTCAAGAGCGACATGTACCTAGTGACTCCCATACTAGCTCATATAGTACATTTCTATCATCACAGAAAGTTCTATAGGCTAGAACAAATATAGTCCATTAAAGAAAGAAGATTCTTAAAATTCTGATCTTGAACAAGTCACTTCACTAATGAAACAGTATATCTTCAAATAATGAGAGACAAAGATAATGATTATCTTTCAAACTAGGTCTTTAAATAATGATAAAGCCTAGGAAAAATGCTATGTACCACACAACGCATAGTCCATCTAAAATGACCTAAACATTAAAGTACTAAGAATATAACAGCTTCCAGCGGGATTTAGACAGTATTCACAAAACACCACTGCTCTCATACTAACAACCAAAACATGCCACAAAAACTACAAAATTGTAGTAGCTTCAACCCATCCGGAAGCTGAGGTCACAAGAAAACCTACAAGCACTAACAATCAAGAAGTAACAGACTTGGTTTAGTTACCAGTTGGGGTGCGTACAGGCGGCAACCAACTGATGTTTTCTTTCTCACAACGATGTTTCTCTCCCTCTCTCCATCTCTTCTCCTCTTTCTAAAAATCAATAAGCTTATCCACAGGTGAGGATAAGAAAAAAAAAAGTGACAGGTGCTGTCATCACTGACAAACAGATGAAAAAGAAGTAGTTAAACAAAGGTACAGAAAAATCAAATTTTCAATGAACTGCTATTGACAGAAGCATGGGTACTGGCATAAGAGACTAGAATTCCAAGGATCCCCAGTCACGAAGCCCCAGCCATGGAGCCAGTCTGCATCCACCTACAAACTCCTGCTCTGAAGTCTTCACCAGCTCCATGGGGTAGCATGTCAATGGATGGGGAGAACAGGAGAGCTGAACAAGATGTTCCCTGAGGCATGAGAGGTCTCCCCCAATGCAAAGCAGCTGCCCTCCAAAGTCTCTGGCCTATACAAATGACCTGAGAGAAATCCCAGTAACACAGTAGGGCCTGGGAGAAGGATATCAAGTCAGAGACTTCCTGAAGAAACAGACAGCCGGAGTTGGAACTGAAAGCATGAAGAAAACTCTACTGTAACCCTACAAACGGGCATCAGGACATTAAAATACCCCACAGCTATGAAAGTTAGTGGCTCAGTTTTGAAGTCAAAAGACACATAGCCAGAATCTCATTATTGCTCAGATCCCAAGCCCTCAAAGCATTAGAAGCCAAAAATGAGCTGAATACAGCTGAAGCAGCAATGAAGCCAAAACTCAGCTCAACTGGAGATTGCATTGACCCATTCCAGCCACTTGAAAGAAAATTTTTTGGAAGCAAATATTACTTAATTTCTACTATAATTCTTTTTACATGTTCACCATATGATCAAACATTACAAGACGCACAAAGAACAAGAAAATGTGTCCCCTAGTCAAAAGAAGCAGACCCAGACATGGCTTAGGTGGTGGGATTACCAGACAGACAGTTTAAAATAAGGTTTATAAAAATAACAAAGGATATAAAGGATAAAAGATATAATGAAAAGAGTAGACACCATGCATGAGAGATGGAAATTTCAGCAGCAAGGTCATAAAAACTTTTTTTAATGTCTTTTAGAATGAAAAATGGATCAAAAATGAAGAATTCATTAGATGGGCTTAATAGAACCTAAACATTGCTGAGGAAAGAACTGGCAAACCTAAACACAGATCAAGGAAAATATGAAAACCACAACAAAGAGAAAAAAGAAAAAGAAAAACAAAACAGAAAAGAAATAAAGAACACAGCAACCAAGATTTGGGGTCCAGGAGCAGAAGAGTGAGAACAGTACAGAAGACATATTTCAGAAGATAACTGCTCTATTAAAAAAAAAAAAAAAAAAAAAAAAAGGCAGCTCAGCAAGCCCCAGGAAGCATACCCCTCACACCCCCCAAAAAAACACAGGCACCTCCTAGTCAAACTGGTGAAAATTAACAATAAAAAAAATAAATGGAAAAACCACAGAAGTCCAGCCAAAGAAATGAAGACATTATATACACAGGAGGAAAATGACACAAATGGTAACTAATTTCCCACCAGAAACAATGGCAGCAAAAGACAATGGAATGGCATCTTCAAAGTACCCAAAGAAGAGGTCCAAGATGGCAGAGGAGTAGGTTGAAGCTACACTAACCTCGTCCCAGGACCGATCTGGAATTACAACTAAATTGTAGAGAAATCATCCTGAATAACCAACTGAACACTAACTGGAGAGAAGCCTTATAAACACAGACAGGAGAAACCACTTCACCACCACAAGACTGGTAGGGAGTGTGGAGGAGGCATAAGAGGCCTGGCTGGGATCTCACAGGTGGCAGCTGCAGTTCCGGAGGGTTATTTCAGCATCTGGGGGGGTTCCCCTGAGAAGCGTGGGGTCTAAACCACAAGCTATGCTCCCCAGTCCACAGCACCAGAGCCAGGAAAGGAACTCAGATAACATCCAGCTGTGAAAAGCAAAAGGGTTTCTGTCTGCCTGGGTAGACTCCTAGAGAGACTCCTCTTAAAGGACCAACACACATCATTTTGTTTGCAGCTGCTTAGCCACTTACCCTGGGCTCCGGCAGAGGCAGGGCAGAGTGGACCAGAGACACTTGAGAAGAGTCCGGGGTTGGTAGTTCATGGGAGAGAACTGAAGGAACAATTGCCAGGATACCTGTGCTGAGTCATTCTCCATAATGCAGAAGCCATTCTTCTCAGGCAGAGCTCTCCCTTCCAAGTTGCATCCTGAGGGGAAGCAACAGCCCCACCCTATGGAACTTAAACCTTGCTGCTAATTACAGCTTGATGGTATATCACTGATTAGTTTAACAACTAAGGCAAATCTCTGGGAGTTCTATAACACCTGACCCTCCCCAGGGCCCAGTGCTGATAAAAGCTGGCCTTGGTGTGCAGCCTTGCTCTCTCTGCGCACTAAGAGCCCAACAGAGGGAAGCAAATGCTATGGGTCGCTGATAGGTCCAAACAAGTTGACTAGGCACAGTCACAAGCTGCAGCTGACAAAGGCCTCTACCAGAGTCTTTGCAGATCTACCTAATATATAGAAACAAAAAGAAGAAGCAGCCAAAATGGGAAGACAGAGAAACAGACACCAACTGAAAGAATTAGAGAATTCTCCAGAAGAGTTAGATGATATGGAGACAAGTAATTGCAATGTCTCCAGATACACACAGACTAAAGTAAAGGGATGGAAAAAGAGACTTCATGCAAATGGAAAGGGAAAAATAAAAGCTGGGGTAGCAGCACTTATATCTGACAAAACAGACTTTAAAACCAAGGCTCAGAGACAAAGAAGGACACTACATAATGATAAAGGAACAAATCCAACAAGAGGATATAACCCTAGTAAATATTTATGCACCAAACATAGGAGCACCTAAATATGTGAAGCAAATTTTGATTGACATAAAGGGAGATGAATAGAAATACAGTCAATAGTCAGGGATTTTTAACACCCCATTGACTTTAACGGACAGATCTTCCAGGCAGAAAATCAACAAGAAGACATCAGCCTTAAATGACACACAAGATCAAATGGATTTAATTGATATCTTCAGAGCATTCCACCCCAAAGCAGCAGAATACACATACTTAACAAGAGCACATTGACATTTTCCAGGATAGAGCACATGTAAGGACACAAAACAAGTATCAATAAATTTAAGAAGACTGAAATCATATCAAGCACCTTCTCTGACACAATGCTATGAAACTAGAAGTGAATCACATGAGAACACTGAAAAACATACAAAGATATGGAAGCTAAATAACATGTTATTAAACAATGAATGGGTCAACAATAAGATCAAGGAAGAAATCAAAAGATTCCTTGAAACAAATGAAAATGAGGGCAAAACATTGCAAAATCTATGGGACACCAGAAAAGCAATCCTAAGACAAAAATCCATGACATTACTGGCCTCTCTCCAAAAATCAGAAAAAGCTCAAATAAACAATCTAAGTTCACACTTAAAGGAACTTTAAAAGAACAGCAAAGTCCAAAATGAAAAGAAAGGCGTAAT